ATGGTTGGAAATTAGTTGTGAGCAATGACCTCTATGGTTCAGGCCTTCAGGGAGTGACAAACTCTTATACTTGACTATAAGTTTATTCAGGTACAGTACTGGTATATTGATGTCTCAGTATTTCAGACCTGCACCTAAGTGATTTTCATGGTTACTGTACCAGTATGTGAACACTATTTCCACCAAAACAGAGAGAACAGGTCCAGGGTTTAAGATCTCACTTCCTGTGATATACTTATCAGTGACTTCCACACCCTTATCTTTAATAGCCAAGAAGGAACCTAGCCAAAAGCAATTATAATAGTTCACAGATCTATTCTGGATAAACATAACCTAGTTAGGAAGAGGTCACAGTGAATTAAAGCCAGGGCATCTCCTGACTCAGAAAGTTGAGGTGTTGGGTGGACTCAGTTCTTCCAGGTCCAATTTGATTGCCCCTCAGCACCAAGGACAGCATGCACTTCCATTTAAGCAATCATTCTAGCTGTTGATTTGGATTGGTGTGCTCTTAGTACACTAACTGTGCATTACCATTCTAAAGGTAACCCACGTAGCAAAGGTCCTGTCCAGAATTAATGCACCAGGTTTAACAGACATTTATTGATATGATATGAAAAATTATGAATTTTTTATTAATACATTGTATTACACTTTTACTTCTGGATACACAATTGCATTGTTCTGAGTGACTGAGTTGTAGGTTTGTGTGTCTGTCCACCCAGAGTAGGTTGAAAGCACTGGGAACGTTGACAGGCAGAATGACAGGAACCTTGGAGCTTTAAGTTTACCAGGCTAACAAACACAATCATACAGAAGTTTCCTAATTCTCTAAATAGGTTCAAAACGGTGTGAACCAAAGTTTGGATGATCAGTGAATTTCAAATATTCATCACTTTACATTTCCCAAACCCTTCTGCCATGCATCCTCTGGTTGTGACTACTCTGAGAGTACTAACTTATATTCTGTTCACATCTTCAGTGCAAATTTCTATTACGAATTCACCTCAGATCCTGTCAGACTAATGTGGATCGAAGGGTCGCCTATACATCACAGACATTTCTATGCAAATAGCCCGGTACATGTCAGTGTGCTGACTACATGCAGAGCACACACATCAAATACTGGAACTGTTACAGTTCTATTCATAGCTTCCCAAAGGTCCTGTACATAAATATCGTACAGTCCCTAAAGGCTTATGGCTTCAATGTCTAAATGCCAAGCCATGTGTTAAAAGCATTGCAGTGAATATCAATGCTGGCATGTTAGATACAAGTTTCATTCATTCTGTAACATTTATATATTCAAAGATACACTGAGCACTCTGCTCAAGATTCCTGTGTTGCTCAGGCACTTGCCACCCAAGATTTTGAATGTTTTGTCTTGTATTTTAGGTGCATATAAACCGTGGGTGTTAACTTACAATCCTGCCAGATGCCATCCTACTTAAGGTTAACAATGACCACAACTATGCCAAGGTTGCAATATAAAGTTTGCCAAATCACTTTTTGAACAATATCGGTGCCTCTTACAATATTGAACTACCCATTCTGCTAGCAACATGCCTTTGGACATATCTGCTGAACTGAACGTTATAGAACTAGTACTGACAGGCTGTGACTGTAAGTGACCTAAAGTTGTACCATTACTAAAAACTTTTAAATTGTGAAGCCATCTTACCGCATATCTGCAGAGGATGTTGGCACCTGCCCCCACACCTAACCCAACCACATCCTTGGACTTACATCTGGAAACATTAAATACAATCTTCTGTCAGTTCTTCAGAACTTTCCTCGTCTTTCTAACTGCTCAAAGAAGGATGACATCAAATTGTAGATAAATTCTCTGAATTTTCAGACATTTCAGATAGCATCCACTGTCTTTCATCGGAGACACTTGAATGACCATTTTCAGTCACCGATGAAAGATAGTGGATTGCTATCTGAAATGCCGAGAGCGAGCTACCTACTAGTCATTAGAAACCAGTGAATTTGAAATTCTTACCCCAGAGCAGCCAAGACTTGAGGAATCACTTCCGTCCCCATCTCCTGCATCGTTGGAAACTTGTAGCTGTAACGTTAACACCACGGGCTGTGAAAACTACCTCTTAACAGCAAAATGTTCTGGATGTGGCAACTTGACATTTTGGTAACAGTGCAGTGACATTTGTCATAGATCGTCATACAATTTTTGATGTTGTAGAGTTTATTTTCAAGCTTGTCACTTTAACAGAACCAACTGCCAACAAGGATCTGAGGCAGGATTTTCAATAACAGGACAGCTCAATTTCGCAGACATGGATGACTGTCCCAAGAAAGCCCTGAGCTTGTGATCTTCTGATGATGCATGACAGGGCTCTTACATGTACACTGCAGTTGGACACCTTGTTCCTTCACACTGAGTCACAGGAAATTCAGTAATTCCCTGATTCATAACACAATACACATACAACAGCACATCCACAAATGGCTCAGTCATGGTTAAACAAGTGGAAACACAGCTGCAAGCAAAGATGACTTCAAGAAAAACACAGGATGCAGGGAATAGCAAGAAGTTGAAGGTTGCACAATCCTTTGGAAGCAATGAAGCATAAATGGGTGGCGGCTTTCCAACCTTGGTTCTTCAGATTTCTCAGGGGCAGCTGCAGGCTCGGTTGTTACAGAAGGCGGCCTGCTTTTCTTAAAGGAAACAGCTCTCTTTAGAGCTGGAGACCCTGAAAAGGCTCTCTGAAGTGCAGGTGAGCCAAAGCCACTTGGGATAGTGCTATGGGGAGGTGACAGTAAACCAAGGATAGAAGGAAGATAGGCAGTAGGGTACAGAAGAGGGAGGGAATACAAGATAGTTCATCAGAGACAGTTGCTGTTTAAAAAAACATGGCTTGCTGTTAAGGCATCTTTTCTTGGCATGTCTAAGGTCTTCATAATGTCATGTTCCCTTGTAAAAGTCATGAATTTGAGTTAATGCAAGAATGTTCCTGAGATTTAAAGTTAAATTTTTCAATGTATATATTGTATATTATATTCAAAAATTGACAGTGGAGGATACTAATAGCCCAGACGATCCAAATTTGAGCTGTTTATGTTCGAAACTATTTTTGCTGAGGAGGAAAGGTCAGCCAAATGTAGTGTCCTAATCCATATTCAGCGTTAGGGCTGTTTTAGTGACCAGAACTGGGCCCAGACTGAAGGTGACGTGAGGTTAGAGCACAGGACAGATAAATGGAACAGGAAGGAACATTAAAATTGCTAGCAACAGATAACAGCAAGAAGTTACATCACAGTACTTTTATGGATCAATACTTTACCAAAGGAACAGGTATTACACGTATACTTAGCAAATTAGACAGTGTGAAAGTAACCCAGGCCTACAAATTTTTGAGGCCCAAAATAGTGAAGAAATTTGAGAGTTGTAGGGGGGGGGGGTTGTGATGAAAAGGTCAAAGGAAACAGACTAGCATTTGCCCTTTCTGTGAGACCAGGTCTAGCAGAAAAATAGAGTGACATTAACTCAGTAACAGCAACATGAGCTTACTCATTAGGCAAGGTTTCAGCTCCCTCCTCCTGTCCTGGCACTGTGATCTGGACGATACAGAACTTACTCAGGATGGCCTTCATGTCCTCATGCAGCAGGAATGGGTGGAACGACTTATCTGGGAACAAACAATAATCATAATGCAGGACACACATACTTTACAAACATACACATTGTCAATCATATACACATGTACAAAAGGACATTAAACTGCAAGTTTCGAGAGTCAGTCAATGTGTCAACCACTAACTTCTGCTGGCTCAAGTTTATTCAAACTCCTGTGTCTGCCTTTTGACTGCCTGTCATTCTGCCTGTCAATCATCCTCCTACCCACATGCTATCAACCTACTCTGTCTGGGCAAGCATAGAAACAAACTCACAGACAAACCCAACCAAAGTAATACTTCCATACATGAAAGTAATGATTGATTAACAATGATAGAGACAGGAACAAGTACACCTGTTAAATTTAATTTAAGAGTAAACTTTCAACACATTCTGATTGCACAACAAGGTGGATGATTACTTTCCTGTAACACAGCATTACTTGATCCCTGTCAGGCTTCAGCTTTTAGATTAAATGATTTCTTTACCAGTTGGCAGTATGCCCTGCATCTACCAAATTGCATGGAGGAAGGAATCAATCTGTACATGATGCATGGATTAACACCACTTTCCACTAGAGCCTCGCTGCTACCACTGAGTAACCAAACATTTGACAGTTCACTTAGTAAACCAAATTTCATGGATGAAGAACATTAAGCTTACAGCTTATAATTATGTTTTCTTATGTCTTGTTTTCTTTTAAATCATACTCTTACATTGTGCATCATACTCCAATTATTAAACCATTGGGACCACACAAGTTGCAAATTCAATTTTGATAGCTCAATGGTCACATTGCAATTACATGTAGCCATCTAGATTCTATGGAGAAGGGCTGTGGATCTTGATATAAAATCAAATCCAGCCGGGTAAGGCAACCTGGAGCTAAGCAATCAGTCATGCCATTTCCGATTGCCTGGGAGAGGGCTCTGCAGATGAAATGAGAGACCTGTGATGTTCCCGCTTAATCATTTGTCATTCTCAACCATCCAAATTAAATTGGACTGCACTGGCCCTAGGGAGACATTATCATTGGACTGACAGTGAACTTGTCACGTTACGTTTTACAACATTGTTATTCTAAAAGAATCTAGTACAACACTCTTTCCTTCATTTTCCCATCATCGTTTATAACTGTTTGATAATATGATATTTTGTGGCATATATCTGTAAATGTTTTCAGTAGTTTAATCTATTTCATTTACAATTTTCACTGTGACCTCTCCACTGTAAATTCATGTCTCCCTCCCTAGCCCTGTCCTATGATACAGTAAGTCCCACTGGACCCTGGTGGTATTTTTGTCAGAATGAGGCCAAGGCTGTCCTCAAGAGTACAATGTCATGACTCGTGACCTTTTCTGAAAATATGTGTGCTGGCTGGAACTGGCTGGAAGTTATCGATAGTGTTTGTTTCATTAGGAATTCCTGCATGACTTACGGCTGGGAACCACATAATACAAGATTCATAGATTTTCTTTCTCTATTAGACAGTTCTGAAAAGGTTGACTGGGATTTCAAGGGCAGCTGCAACTCTATACCTAAAGGGCTATAAATCATGGTATGGTTATAGAGGTTGATGGCTGAATTGCAGCCATGCCTTAAATTGGCTTTCCATTCTTCGTGAATTATGATAGAATAGTGGCCAAGTTCAGGCCAAGCCTTGAATCAACTTTTCATTTTCAGAAATGATGACACAATGGCTGCTACCATGCTACCAATAAATAAGCAAATCCCATGTTCATAACTTATAGGAAAATAGTACTTAAGAATGGTGTGAGCTCACATAATTCCATTTTGGTTCAATTTGGGAAAGTGCACCTGTACAAGCACAACACTTACTGTACCAACATTAATGCCAGGAAAGCATTGCAGGAAAGCATTGCACCTTTGAAAGTCATGATCATACAGTCAATTACTGGTATACATGTAATAACAATAATACATAATACCTCATCTGAAGACTGCAATCTGTACATGCTTTATGTACATGCCATAAAGAAGTAGTTCTGCTATCATTATCTGACATATTGATACTTTTTTACTCACAAGATTGATACTTTTTTACTCACAAGATTTTGGGTCACATAGTGCATGATATGCACATATTCCCAGTCCTAGTAACTAATCCTTGGCTGGCCACAAACCAAACCTCCCCCCACTTAAGGAAATGGGCCATGGCCTAACCCTCACAGTCACTCATCAATCAATGGCAAAGGATATTCTTCACGCACACATACATGTATGATGATATGAATGTATGTTTGCTTGTGACTTGCAAAAGTCTAGAGTCCTATTCTATGTGATAGAACAATAATAGTTTTCTACTCTGGTTAAAGCAAAGCCAAGGTTGCATGAAATTGATCCCCTTGTAGCCATGCTACATTATGTAGGAGTCATTGCACTTGCGCAAATCAGCGGATGGTGTGCCTACGTGCAAACATGCACAGAGCAAGCTCATTTACATCAGATAAGGACATAGATCTAATTTCTCCAGCCCTGCTTCATCAATCCTCCAAGGTGATGTCATCTGACAAAATGTGACTGTCACATTGAAATGATTAGGGTAATTTGGAGTACTGCATGTACTTAGAACAGAGGATCTCCTGGTAATTGCAGGCAATAACATTTCAGGAAATATATGCTGTGTTCACCAACTCGAAATTGCTAGAGGAAAATTACTATTAATACACTTCCTTCAAATTAATCTTGGAGAACTGATGCTTGCAAAAGTGGTGCTAGTTCTAGTTCTTGGAACAATAAAATAGATGAGCAAAGAAGATTAACTACCATGTATAACAACAAATTTGTATTCATATTTTTGTTGCCAACCCAATTTTTTTTATTCCCGAGTATCGAAGTATTGTTTTTCCTAGAAAAAGTCTGATACTTACGGTTCTGTCCGATGTCGTGCACTGTGAGGAACACCCTCAATTTGCGGTCTCCCTGCAAAATACAACAACTTTTAGTCAAACTTGTGTCCTGGATTTTCTTAAAGGGACTGGCTAGGAAGAATTCTGTTAAAAAGAGTCTTTTAGCAATATTTGAATCAAGCTTCAAATCAATACATTTCTGATATTGTATGTCTCTGCACTGTGACCTCCTAAGATTTATATTGACAGGTACATTGGCAATTCACTTTCCTGTTAAACTTTCAAGTTAATAAGGTATAACCCCTATTCAAAGGTGTTATAGATACTGCACATTCCTCAAGCTTAGGGTTGAAAAACAAACTTGATGATAGAAACATATGATAAGTAAATGTCAGATTCTAACTCTGATAACCTTGAAGACTGAAGCGTAATTTGGCTTCCCTAGTGGGAACACGGCTTGAATATCAATTACAACATTGCATGTAGGTTTCAATATATCATGTAATTAGTATCCATGCTCTTTCTATCAGGGGATAGTGTACACATGTAGCTCTAAAAGTCATATTGTGCACATTTTGATAACCAAAGACTATGGGGATATCAAACATTTCCAGAAAGGATTACTTTACAATGTATAATAAGATTTCTTCAACTTGTTGGTTAAAAAACTTCCCCAATGAATTGAAAGTTGGGAAAACATATTAGAGAACAATGTCTTGGTGTGTTTAATTCCTAATCCTGCTACATTGTAGGCTGTGGCTGTTTTGTGTCCCATAATGGTTATGTCTGAGAAGGTTTTATTCTAAACAGTAGCCTTACTCGGCTCTGCAAGACAGTTAGTTCCCTAAGCCATCAGTTTACAGATTTTATATTGTGACTGTAGTATACATATCTCAACAAATTAGGATTCCTGTAACATTTATTTCTTCTACAGCACTGTCCTGCCAAACTCCAATGTATATGATGGTTCAAGGTCAGGTCACAGTCTGACCTAAATTCCCGGACTGCCTGAAGGCTGCCTGTACTCATTCTCAGGACTCTCATTGGTAAACCATCAATTGAACAAACATGGCATGGCCTTTGGCAAGATTAATGGCCACAGACCCAAGGGTCACATAATGACAAACAAGGCAAAAGGCATGTCTGGAACATTCATACATTATTGAAGGGGAGATGTAATGTTATGTTACGACTGATTTTCATACAGGGATAATTTAGTGCCCTTGACATTCTTTAAAGGCTTACAATGCAAACCACACAATATTACCTCGCTTAGATGTCAGCACTTGAAAAAACATGATGTTATATATATTATTACTAGGACTTCGCATACCTTGCATGCATTGTAGGCCTTAATTTACCGTGTTTTTCAAAGTGGCAGATATATGTAACCTGGCAGATGGATGGTAATGGAGGTTAGCTATGATGAATAAATGATGAAGCAACATGAAGAATAAAAAATCTATTTTAATGCAATAAGACGAGGCACAAAAGTTCATATCAAAAGGCTGTATCGACCCCTATCACTTCAACTTTTATCTCAGCATGATACATGATATCAACATGGTAAAATATTGATCTACATGTATACCCTGTAGAAATGATCATGATGATTCATGTAAAATCATGACTTAAATGTATATGGTATGGCTAAAACATAATGGCTGCTTTGAAGAAATACGTGTAAGATTAACAAAGCAATGATTAAACTGCTTGTTAAGGCCTGCAAACTTTTAAGAAATATGGCATTTTTACCAAAATTATACATCAGACTCCATATGTGCATCGACAAATAAATGGCTTGTAAAAATTGGATTTTAGCTCTACCTCATGTTATTTTGATTTGCTTTCAAATTGGTGACATTTGAAATTGGCTTAGACCACTTAGCCCGTAAAACAGGACTATTTTCATCCATTGAATGCAGGGAACATCACCCCAGCATGTCATAAAACAGCTGGAAAGCCTTTAAGTATACACCTGAAGCTGATAATCTGGTTTCCTGCTGTATGCTGCTAACTAAATACCTTGGCTTCCCTACAAGATCAAGCCATTTCCTGTATGCATGTACATGTAGCTATGCAGATGTCTGGGGAAGTCTACAAAACCCATTCAGATGGCCCCTTCAATGTCCCCTAGATATTTGCCAGTAATGGGCACGCACCACATTATCACTATGACAAGACAAACGTTGTGCAACACGCTTTCAGTACCAAGGACGTGGACAGTCAGAAGGATTTTACGGAATGCTTTCAGTACCAGGGACGAAGGTAGACATGGAATGGTATGGGCATTATGTAGCATGCTTCCAGTACCAAGGACAACGACAGATATGGAAAGGTAGATTTGTACATGTAATATATGTAGTACCAAGGACAAAGGTACATACAGAATGGAATTTTAGTAACATATGGAATGTTTTTAGTACCAAGGACAGAACTATATAGTAGTAAACCCTTCTCCAGTCAAGCAACATTTTCATATTATCAACATAGGTAGCTAAAGTCTAAAGTCTACCTTTGTTCTACTTTAACCATTATCATTACCTAGAATACAAGAATTGCCCTAGGGCCATGGTTGTTTCACATACTCCAGTCTCAAGTAGATATGGCACTTAAACCAGCACTGCTCTTTGATGTTCGTATAAGCTGCCTGAAGGAAGTGTCCATAGAGAACATAGATATCATCTTGCACATCAAGATTCAGTTTATCCCTAGACAGGTCTAACAAGATATAAATCATGTCTGCTCATATATATACTCGATGTTATCTGAGGGTCTGCATGGGGGGGTCCTGGCAACGGTTAACGGTAAATTCAGCAGGACCGATAACGCTTAACGGTAAATTCAGGACGGTCGGCAACGCTTAACGGTAAATTGACAGGCTTTTTTTCGAGCTGCACTGGATTTGGTATCTACTCGCATTGTGAGAAAAGGTGATCACTGACAAAATTACGTATACCTTACATGTAATGAAGCATGCATTAAAGGTATGTGTTCCTTGTGTGTCCCACCTGCCCTGGTCCCCGAGTACGTCCACAAATACTGGGGTGTCCGAGTCGACGTCGGCCAGCTTGCATTTTTTCAGTCTGCCCAGTTTTACCGATAGATTTTGAGAGGGGAGCGCCGAAGGCGCTCGTAATCTAGGGGGGTCCGGGGGAATGCTCCCCCGGGAAATTTAGGATTTTTAAGCCTTCAAAAACGCGCAATTTCCCGCATTTTGAGAGGCAAATCATGGTGTTGAGAGTGTTTGTCGGTCCTTCTGATGTTTTCATATTTTACTCATTTTTTTTTGTTAATTTGCCTGTCAAGGTTGACGGATTCGTTAAAAAAATTCTGTAACTCTCCGCAAACGTCCGGAAATTGAAGGGAAGACTGGTTCTGGCTAGAGCCGAATTCGAAGGGACCGAGCGCAGAAGCGCGAGTCGAGCGTCAAAGGCGCGAGCAATGTAGGGGGGCCCGGGGGCATTCTCCCCCGGGGAATTTTGTATTTTTTAAACCTTCAATGACGCATTTTCCTGCACTTTGAAAGGCAAAATTATGCGTAACGAAGAATTATTCATTAACGCTTAACGCTGAATTTAGGATGGCAAATAACGTTTTACGTTGAATTAAAACGACCCATAACGCTTCACGAGGAATATACTGATAACGCTTAACGTTGAATTAGAGCGGGCCGGCAACGATTAACGGTAAATTAAAATAGCCCATAACGGTTAACGAAAAAGGGCATGCAGACCCTCTTATCTCCTGCCAAGAGGTATGTATGAGGATATCAGCCTACTGGGGACGGCAGACATCATTATAAATCTCTGTTTGAATTGTGTCTGACTCATCATTTCATGCCCTGAGATAAAGAGGCTACTATGGACAGCAATAACCTGCCACAATGGATTTATATCAACTCCATTATGGCAGGAAGAATTCACATCCAGGAAGGACCAACAGTTGTACCCAACTGGGATATCTTTACAGACACATTATATAACCGTTATGTTGCACAGTCATGACTCATGTGTGAATGATAAGAATATGAGTATAAGTATAAGTATAATAAAGCTAATCTGTCTCTTTAATATAAGAACCAATTATGAATATGACACAGCTGTTTGGAAATATTGTGTGTGTAAAATCTCCTCATGTTGCTATAGATAAATTGCCATGATTGCCTTTATGCAAATTAATAATAGCTCAACAGATGGCCCGATCCCACCACAAGCCTAATCCCAAAATTGTTTTATTCCTTCTACCACTTAACAAATCAACTTAATTTTGTTCTGCTTGGCAGAAGCATCTACATGCCAATTTTGCTCTCTTTTTCTGTTTCTAGAGCTACAGATGAAATTAATAATACTTGTATTTTCCAGACCATGTCACTTTGTGCTCTATTGGTATGATTGTTATTTGTTTACATGTGTGTAAGGTCATTGCACTTTTGAGAACTATATTGTACATAAGAAATCCTTGACCTAGATTAGTGTAAACACTGGATTATGTATGAAGAATTTAGTGAACAACTATTGCAGACGCTACTGGAAAGGGTCCTAAATCCCTAGGATGGAACATTAAGCCATTGTCCACTTTTCATTGCAGTTGTGTAAAAGACCTTACACACAAGTAAACACAATAATTAGCATCATTTGAAAACTCCTTCAGTCATCAGGTGCCCTTATAGGATGTGATGCAAGGAGAATCTGCCAAACAGTCAACACAACTGTGTTATGATAATTGATAAACCTGTGTCTCTGCTAGGTCCTGTACACAGCACGGCTCTAGCCAGCACCAGTTTTTCTGTCAATTACTGGAACTTTGTGGCTTGTGACAAATTTTTTTAAGCCAATCTGTCAAATTTGACAAACAGAATGAACAAAAATCTTGGGTAAAAATAAGAAAACATCCGAAGTACAACCTACAATCACTCTCAACACAATGATTTGCCTCTCAAAATGCAGCAAATTGCATTTTAGAAGGCTTGAAAACCAAAAATTTCCCGGGGGCCCCCTAAATTGCCCCAAATTTCATGATGAACCTGGACTGACAGAAAAAACATTTCAAGCTGGCTAGAGCTGAGACTGGTACACAGTGTAATGGAAGTGCCTATCAATAACACACGGCTGAAGAGCTACGGGAGTGAAGATGAAGATCAGGAGTTAATTACCTTACAAAAATAATTTAATGTTAATCCAATTTATCTCAGCAAATCAAATCGGACTACGGGGCATTAACCAACAAGGTGCGGAGTGTCGTCTAGGTGCATAGATTATAAAGCCAACAATTTGTGTCAAAATTTTTGTTAAAACTAAAAGCCTAAGTGAATATTAACATCAGTTATGTGTAAATATTTATCTGCAATCCTGGTACAATTATCCACCTATTTCCAACCACAACCCAATATCCTGTCTATGTTTCAGAATAACTCATCTATTTTGTTTTTCTATGTACCTCTTTGTCTTCCCAAATCATATTAGACTGTATGCCCATAGGTATATACAGTGTATGTAAGGTATTCATAAGGACCTAAGTCTACAATTTCCTTACCAATACCTTACATCTATCTATTCTGATTAGATTGTGATAACCCTTCAAATAAGATGCCCTGGTACGTAAGAGATGGATTTGTGAAATTCATTTTTGCGAATAGGTTTGAATTCTTAAATGTCAAGAATATGCTGTATACAAGTTACATAGTCATAACCCTACACAAATATCTAATAGCAATACACAGACAGAGTGTAACTGCACTGGAGCACCTACATCACAAATTACATGTTGTAGATGCACAGCTCGAATTTGGGATGCACCAAAATGCATATGCACCCACTATTGCAAGCCTGTAACTGTAATAATAGAAAGGTTCTAAGTCTCGGCACCCCCCTGGTATGTATAAATGTGCAGGCTGAGGATCTGTGGTGAAGTGACAGCCATTAGTACTACGTGGTCTACGTGACCAAAAATCAATCAATGAACAGACATTACAGGCCATCTGCAGCGCAATTTCCTGCGTAGGTACTTTTGCAAAGGTCTTTAATTTATCACAAGACAATCTGGCTGCTCTCAACCTCTTATTTTAGCACTCAGGTTGATCAATTTATTCATGCCTGAAGGCTAATTGCAAGGGATTCCACATGATAAGTGTTCTTTTTTTACTAAATAGAAATTTAATGTGTTTTTTAGGTTTTCTAGATAATGGCAGCTTGCTGAGATTGGACGTGGTAACTGTTTCAAAGAGCCTGTTTATTTCAGGCTCATAATGAGGGAATTTTTAAAATGTATAAATGTATAAATGGAGGCTCAGACATGTTTCTTCAAAATCTTCTAATATGCAAAACGCTAAAGAGACAATGAGAAATTCCAGCACACACAGATTTGCATATTACACCAAGAGACCTGTAAGTAGAATGGTGAAATGTCAATAGTTCACCGCCCCATGTCCTGACACTTTGATTTACTGGCAGTAAGCGATGACCTTGCTGCTTTAGACAATATTGATTTTCCACTGTACAAGCGTTGTGGCAAAACAACACAGCCAGAAAAAAAAAGAAAAACAAGGTCCCACCTGAAGCTGAACATTGTTCTTACATGGACAATCTTATCTAATGTGTAACAAAGCTTCAGTCCTGTGATCTTGACTTTACAAGCCTTGCCAAAAATAACATTTCAATCTTGATTGTATTTACAGAATTTTGAAATGACCCCTAACATATATCATAACAGTATATCACCAACATCAGTACTATTGTGTGCCATTGTTTGTCGGGCCCTTGTGAGACTGTGAACAACAGACGATAACCGGATGGTGAGTGTTTGTGTTGTTGCATAAAGGAACCATTCTAGCATGCTGATTTTCATGGCATTTGAAGTACATTATGAATTCCTTTGTGGTGTCTGCTGCAGCTGGGGAATTATGTACATCAACCTTCAGCCTGAGTTATGCACTTGCCAATGTAATCTAGCAAGGTTTGTGAATTGTGATGTCACACCTAACCTCTAGAGTAGGATCTGTGTGACATTTCATTGTCCATGTCTTTGCTTATTTGACTAGATCTCTGCTCACAAATTTAGTCATTTTTCCCAATAGATCTATACTTGTTTACTGTGAATTACATATAGCCACAACGGACAAGCAACCTAGTGGCTATCAGCCTGCTGATAATGACTTGACAACATGAAACAAGTTATTTTTCCCTACAGCAAAGCCTCACTAATAGATATTAAAATGATGAAGTTAATACTTTTGTTCAACACAATGAAACTGTTGCTAATGTCGACATAAAAATATTTTAACTATCTATTTATAAATTCTTGAGTTGTCCTGAGTGTCACATGACGGAAAAAGCAAAACCATAATTTCCTTGGCTATCATGTGTGTTTGGGGTATGGGGGAGCAGTGCAATCCTGATATTGATGTGATAATTGTAATCTATCAGAAGTCACTTCAGGATCATGGACACCTATCAATCATGGACAGCTATTGCAATTTGCAATTGATTTTTTTATGTGACACGATACTTGACATCAGTAATTAGTACATTTGGTATAGAAATGTGCCTCAAGGCAGTTGTTCCTGTTGACTAACACAAATATTACATGTACAAGTATCATATATGTGAAGAAATGAGAGGAATATATACTTTCTGCATTGTACTGACATCACATGTGCCTCCAATTAACGTTGATTATCACATAATTGGCCTCTAATTAATTATCCTGGCTGCCCAGTGGTTGGTCACTCCCCAGAGACAGACTTTCTCTTGTTTGTTTACATTGCAGAGCAGTGAGGTGGATCTGTCTCATTAAGTAGGTCAGCTAGCAGTCCCAGGGTCCCAGAGGTTTTCATAAGTCAGGACAAAAGACACATGTTGGGGATCATATGTCTGCAGCAACTGATCAGATACAGTTTGTTGACAATGGTTAATCAGAAGTTATTGACGAGTTTAAAGTAACAAAACACAAGATATGGACAGAAGAAATCTTTGTTCACAAACACAGACGGAAGCACCGACTTTCATCCGACTTCCGTAAATCCGATCCATAATTGAAAACAACACCGTCCACAAAGGAATAGTTGTTTACATTTTTTTCTGACGCCAGTTTGGAGTGGCCCTGTCTGGTTAGTTGTTTTTTTTCTGGAAAAAAATAAGTAGGATAAAAACATGTTGCGACCGTCATGGTTGGGTTCATCCAGGATGGGGCTAAGGCAAGCCATTTGTTGTTGGCGATGTTGTTTTTGTTTGCTTTTATGGCAGAAAAAATTAACATATGATAAGATACAACATCTTAATCTTCTCTTGTGCCATTGTGTTGTGTGGTACAAGCTGGGATACAAAATACACAGCTATTTCTTTCATTAAAATGGGAGATTTGCTGGTGGTATATTGGAAGATCCCGTTTCCAATAAGTTACGACCCCTTCCAATTCCATGTAACACAGTTTAGCTTCAAGGGCGACGTGCTTCCTCTCCCAAAAACTGAAGTTTTCTTCTTAACGTCAAAACGCAACTAGTTGTTGATTCAGATAATTTAAAGTAAGCTTGCTTGCGCACACTTGCTGGGTTGGATTTCTATGAGAGATGTTGGATATGACGGCAAATATTTGCAGCGAGAAAATGGGGCCCCTCCCCCACAGGACGACATCGCCAACCTCAAGGTGAAACTCACATATAGCCACACACACAGCCAAACAAAAAAGTTTCCCTACCGAAACGTAGACGGTGACATCCCCGAACTTGTCCGTCTTCACAACCTCCTTCTGTAAAACAGAAAATAACAGAAAGTATGAACAAAGGATTAATATCTCATGGTGCCGTTTTTTTTTTCGAGGATGAACGCGCCAGGCACGGCCCCCAATGGAAGGAACTTGAGAACGTACTTGAACATGAACGCGACCGTATCAAATACAAGGAGAAAAACAACGAATCCAGCCGACAAACTACAGAAATCACTCACCGTCTCCTCCATAGTGATGGAATGAAGCTTTCAGCGATGAGGAATTAAGTTGCCAGTGGTTGTTTTTGTGCGTAAACGCCTTCTCGGTAAGGCTCAAAATCCCAAACGCGAAGCGAAGGAAAGACTGAACTGTGTCACCACACCAATTCTCGCGAATGGCGAGATTTTGTGGGACGAGAATAAGCGAGACTACGCATGAACCAATCAGAGCCAGTCGATAATTTCCACCAATCAGCGATCGTCTTTTAAATGCCACTTGTGGGCATGCGCAGTAGCCCGTTGTCACAATAAACAAGTTTGATTCACTTCTCAAAGATTTGCGACTTTCTGTGGATAATCAAGACTTTTTACGACATATCTGGTAGGTTTTGAAATTGTTTTCGAGAACGGTTAAGTCATGTAATCTTAGTTATTGACGTAACATGTTGTCTTTTTCAACTTGTGCCGCAATTAGGCCATCTACACTCGCCAAAACGCGTTGCTATGCTAAGATAAGTATGTTCCTCTGCGTGCCCTGATACCGCCCCCCTCCCACAACCAGCTGATAGCATAAACATTTTCATCTGATTCAATACTTCTACATTTTACACTGGGTCACGGTGTGGCTGTACCATTCAGTTTTCAAACCAGTGGCAAGAATATGATTATACACGTTAGTTCACTTCTTCTTCTTCTTCGATACTCTCTAACCACCCCTACTGGGGTATCACTGAGAGGGGGGGGGGGCTCGTCACTGAATGACATCCAGTAAATTTCTAGCGGAGACCAATCAGAGGGCTGCTGAATAATTTGAATAATTTATCAAGGCCCACGGACGCGGTTCTTTCACTTGTAAAGTAGCCAATTACCACCGAGCCGGTGGCACACGATGGGCGAAAACATGTATTTCACACCCATTGTACGTCGACATAAAGCGCTTATACATTACAAACAGAATTTTCGTAGGACTGCCATTACTTTAGTTTGCAGCATGTGTATTGAGAATGAGTATCTTCATAATTCTGCTGGCTGTTTGTAGAAGAACGGCACAAAAAAACAGTTTTCAATACCAACACGACTTAGCAGATAACACGTAATGAAGACCACTTTTTACGCAGATTGTAGCACTACGTAATGTTACACAAACTAACAGTAGATGTTTTAAGGAATTCACAGAAATGACAATGATAGATAATGTAACGCATATACATTATACAGCACAAAATAAAGAGTAACAGTAATGTAGTCGTCTTTGGCCGGGTATGGCAAGTTATAGTACGTACATGTATCGGTTCAATATAATCTTTAACGGGTAAGTTGACAGCAACAAGCAAGATGCATAGGTTCTATTACTTTTGTAGCTCACTTGCGTCTAGATTTAGGGCGAACCCATGTTACTTTTTCGCCGCAGTTTTTCATGTAGTGGTTACTTCGACAGCCTTTCCGCTGACGCAAACATACTAGTTTGAGGTTCCACAGCTCTTACAACGTTAGCGCTTGAAGTGGTGTTTTCCAAGTTTGTTGGTCTGGTGATGTTGTCTTTGTTGGCTTGTTGTCTGTCATTTCCCTCAATTTTTATGTTTGGCGGCCCGTCTTTGATGGGTTGGGTTTGCTTCACAAATCTCGGCTTCGCTAAGATCCGTTCCTTCCCGTACGTAGTGGTCGCTCCATTAGCACTAGTGCAGCCACATTTGAATGTGTAAAACTTAATGTCTACAGTCCCGTTTTGATTCGTTCATCAAAGTAGATTTTACTAAGGTATGACTTTACTAAGTGATTGTGGAAGTACTAGTACTTAGTACTGATGTAAACAAGAAACAATATACGCGCTCTGGTTGAGTTCATGGCATTTACATGAAACAAGGTGCTAATAGCCACTAGTCGGTGACGCGTCAGCAGCCCCATGATTGGTTCCCGCTAGAAATCTACTGGATGTCATATAGTGTACACGGGGGGGGGGGGTGCGACGGACTATGGCTGCACGGCCAGAAGCCCGGCCTTGAAGGCCTCCACTGTCTGGGCTTTTACAAGCTGGCCCGGTAACTTGTTCCACTCATTTATCGTTCTTGGAAAAAAAGAAAATCTAAAACAGTCTGTTTTGGCAGGTATTGCTTGATACTTATATTCATGACTTCCTCTGGTACGCCTATGGGCAGGTTTGAGGTATTGTTCCGTTTGAATATTAATATGTCCATGAGCAATTTTATATAAAGATATCAAGCGAGCGGTTCTCCTTCTGTCAACAAGTAACGGCCACTGGAGGCGCTTTAGCATGTCAGAAACACTGCTGGTATAGTCATAATCACTAACAGTCATTCGCGCCGCCCTTCGTTGGACTCGCTCCAACGCCTGGGAACCACCGATGGTGTGGGGATCCCATACAGTCGCACAGTACTCCAGGTGTGGGCGTACAAGTGTTCTGTAGCATGTAGATTTGACACGAAGAGGACAGTGCGAAAGGTTACGGCGGATGACTGCCAGTATCCTATTAGCTCTACCAGTGACATAATTTATATGTGTGTCCCATTTCATATCCTGTGATAGTTGGACTCCAAGGTATGGATGGGTTTTAACACTAGTAAGATTTTCTGAACATAATTGGTATTGTGTAATAGTCGGGTTACGCTTACGAGTAATATGAAGTGTGTGGCACTTTGACGTTCACGTTGTAAACCTTATGATTGGTGTGTTTCAGGACGTTTTTCAGTCATCATGAGTCACAAAAAGCTGTTAGCCTGCTGTGTGGAGCTACTGGACACCTTCAACCCAGAGGAGAATTGTGTGGAGGATCATCTTAAGCACTTCCTCAAGAAAAACAAGGTGACTTTTGTGCCTTTGTACATACAGTCATACCTGTTAATAGGCTGTTATACAGGTCCTGTATTGTACATTTGAAGTCTCGGTAAGAGCACCACATCAACAGAACTTCCTGATCTAAAGCAAAGCTTAAAATTGACCTGTAAAACACAAAAATTTGAAATTTTTACTCTTAAACTCCAGTCTTTGGCAAGGGATGAGCAATCCGCTGCTTCTGTGACGTTATGTTAGGCAGTTGCAGAACATGTGACTCGATGAACAGTGGATCATAAGTTGAGTTTATGATGATCCATCTATAAAATTACAATCAAACTTCAGAATGGTTTCCACCAACACATATGAGCTTTCAACTTAACATAAAAGGTAAGAAATTCCTTCTGAACACTTCTTTTTTTCACAGATGTAAAAGAAATTGTTTGAAGCAGACAATAAATACAATGTACTCTCCTTTCCCCTCAGTCCTTAGATGAAAATGACCAGACGTTTATTGTGGAGGTGTTCTCTGGCTGTGTCCGGTACGCTCCGATCATGAAGGTTGTGGTGGACGGGTTCTACAACGTGAAGGAGGGCAAACGGTCGCTCAGATCAGAGAGGAACATTTATATTAGTAAGTATCAGTTAACTTGTTAGGCATTGCTCTTAAAGTAAGTATAACTTACCCCTGGTACTAATTGCTATAAAGTATTTTGATTCAACTTCTCCCTAGCTATTGTCTAACCTATATAGAATTGATAGCCAAACAGCTACTTCAGTGTTTCTAACATAGAAGTCATTTACAATTTAAAAACCATGCTTGTATGCGCAGTACCTTGACAAAGAACACCTAGACCGTAGACTAATGAAATTCTGTATGTTTCAGCTCTGTGCTACATGACAGTGTTCAGACTGGATGAGTTGGGGATCGTCCACTTTAGCAACTTTGTCAAGTCCCAGGATGTGAACAGGATGCACAATGTGAGTACATGTACTACTATAAACAACTGCATTATTTTAGCATGCTGGCATATATGTACATTGTTCCTCCCCCACCTTTTTAACCTACACAAAAGTAGCACTGTGTGTTTTAGAGACTGCATTGTGATAATTGTTATTTATAAATTATACCAAATTTATTCTGTCCCATTTTAAGTGTTGCAGAATTGTCTAAAGAGATTTTTCTTAATATCATTTTTTCAGATACTGAGATAGTCAAGCACAATTAGTAGTTGATGATAACTCCTTTTTTCTTAAATGCTATAAGCTCAAGAATTAGTTTTCTTTTGCAGTTTTTTTCATTCTTCTTGGCTGATGAGAATCTGAAGAAGTGGATTAAGGATGAGTGGTGCAAACACTACGACCCCAGGTTTACCCAGGACAACCTTCTCAGACCACTACACAGGTACACACGTCTTGGCTGTCACTGGGTTGTTGGAGGTTTTGTTTTTGGTGCATTGTGTGTCCTTAGTTATTTGAATACCATATAGTCATGGGAGCTGGTGTAACCACAGACAGAGAATCAGTATAAAATAAATACTTCAGTACTGGCATGTATCTATAAAATCATAACCAAATAACATTTTATTATACATAATCTCTCTAGGTGGATGCCAGAGCTGGAAAAAATGATCAGCCAACTTGCAGACAAAGTCGCAAACAAAAATAACTTACCGAAGAAAGTAGTGAAGCCTGCAACCCAGCCACAGGAGTTCAACATCACCCAGCCCAAACCCCGAGCTATCCCTGTCCCAGAGAGAATACCCAAGCTACACAAACACAGACCGGTAAGCAGTTTTGTTATACTTATGCTTAGCAGGCTCTACAAGTCATGCTTGATAATATTATTATGATGTACTTTTTTCTAATGGCATATCCCTTCTTGAAACTCTGTATCTTGTGTATGGAGGCAGCCCACAAGAAAATGATTGAATGTGTTTTTCTGCTGACACAGGTACCTGAGTCCACATATCGGCCTCCTAAAGAGCAGGCTCTCCTGGCAGAGGCAGAGGAGATGAACAGGAGAAGAGCAGAGGCAAGTTTGATAAATGTTTTGCTCAAGTCTCATCGTGGCTGCTGAGCATGAGCAGATCTCAGCCTTGCATGTAATTTTTCACTCAACAATCACAAAATTTGAATTGGTTGCAGTACCTGATAAAAAAATGCTAGGCTAAGTACTACCAGACGTATTTGTTTAGAATTTTGCATCACCTAACTTTTGCAGCATGGTGTAGTTGGAGTAGGAGTTGCCAGCCTCTATTTGTAAATGCGCTTGAGTCTGATGTAGAGAACTGATTTACAAAGCTGATGTAACATAAAAAGCACAGCAAATATTTTACGATGTACAGTACTCAGCACCTTGATATGTGCGTGTACATGCTGTCAAGGTTATGTATGAAAGACTTCACCTTGTTCAAGTTCACTCTCATGGAACCCTGCCCAAATCCTGTGTCAGTAATCGTCCAAAATTACTCTGAGCATAGCTCTTACAGGCACATGATATTACCATCAGTCGACTTACCGTCGGCTTGGCCGAAAATTACAGTACATGGTTTGGATATAACAATTTTTGGTCGCTGGCAACTGCAAGTAAGCCCTCTGCCATTACTATTAAATTTGTTTCATGTTGCCTGAAGAATATGCAGTATATATGCTACGCAAGTACCAACTCTAGTGACAGTAGGTGCAAAATATTAAGTACACAGTTCCTTCCACCCCTGACTGTGGATCCGTAGTTTATGTGTACCAAATAGCCCACCCAAAGATATTTCCCACAAGAGTTGGAAGTAATCCACCAAACAAATGAACCTGAATGGACATGATGAAGGGGAATCCTTATCTCCAATATGGGAGAGAGACATATAAATCTTTAATCTTCTTCTTATTGGAAAAATTTTCAACCAATCCCCAATAGGAAGTAACTACACAAGTTTTTTGCTTTACCTTAAATTATTGAATCAGCCAAAATTATTACGGTACCCATGAAATTTCTTTATCATCATCTTGTTGTGCTCTCCACCCCTCCCTACCTTCCAATTCTTCATCAGCCCTTTATGAAAATCAAAATTTCATATATTTGTATCAATAAGTTAATTCTTTTTGAAGATTATACTCCAAGTTTTTGTTTGATGGATACTTTCTTCCCTTATTGAAAATAGAATTCAAAGTTTTCTTCCTTCATACATGGTTAATGAAATCCTTCCTTGTCTAATATTTCAAAGCGTACTGAACAGAGAATTTACTATAGATCTTTGCATTGGGTGTGCTTGGACGTCCAAGAGAGCTCATTGGCATTCTGTTCAACAGACATGTCATGAATAAAACCATCATCATGATGGTGGTCAGGAGGGGCTGTTACTAAGTGCAATTGTTCATGTGTCAGATGCACTATTTAACTGTGGGTGGCAGGAGTTAGTGCTAGAAGCTTCTGGTGAAACTTGAAAACAAGGCCTGGCTGGAAAGCGCTGGTAGCCGTCCACACTGTACACTATACAGTGGTGGTATTAGAGGGGCTGAATATAGTCAGAGAAACTCAAAGAATCATACTGTATTCCAGAAGCTGGCATCATTACAAAGTGTATTTCTTGTGCCTTTATGCAGTAAGGATGATCATAAATACATTCTGTATGGTTGTGCATTCAAATATAAGTGCTTCATCAACTTTGGTTTCTGTCTGAACAATTCAGTTTCTTGGTTAAACCCTGATTCACTGTTCCCTGCTGCTGGATATAATGACACCAGTTGCTGCCCTTAAGTTCAGTTGGCCATTGCCATTGATTGCAGTCTGTGTAATTTCACGGCTTAAGTACCAAGACAGAAAAGCTGCGGGATTACGAAGGCTAGGCTCTGAGCCAGAGAATAGTTTGTGCAGAACCTGGAAAATTAGTCCAATAGAACCAAGCAGATGGAAAAAATGAGGATTGCAACGTTATCTAGTAGGGCATTGCAATTCTCAGGTGTTGTGAAGAGGATTTGTAAAGGATAATTGGAAAGGATTTCAAGCCTTCAGGGCAATTACCAAAAATTTTGAAATATGTTTATGATGCTAAACAGATACTAGTAATAACTAATTCAAATAGGGTACAGTATTTTTCAGTAATATTTCATGCCTTCTTTTCTTTTTCCCGCACAGGAGATTCTAATGGATGCTAACAGGTTTCAGTTCCGGGCTGCCATTTCAGAGAAGTCAGCAAAGACAAAGGTCAGTGTTTGTCTGCCATTTTGTTGAAAGCCTCACTTTTGGGAGGAAGAAGTTTGGGGATTTCTCAAAGCGAGTGAAAACCATTAACCTTTTCAGAGGCATAAAGACACCTTTGTCAGCACTGTTACATGACCGCCACAGTGACATTTCCTGTTAGTTCATATGGGACCAGCAATGCCAAACAGATACGTGATACGTAGTGTAATTGCCTCCATTTGCAGAGGTTTTTTTTTACCTCCATGAAAAAATTGAGGTATTCTTTTTGGGTCTGTGTACTTGTGTCTGTGCTTTTTCATATTTGTTGTCAAGATGGATTGTGATACTTAGTATGTGAGTACAAAAATGTAGGTCTTGTTTTTGGTGTGCTTGTTTGTTTGCTTGTGTGTCTGAATACAGTAGAGAGACAGGATGCAAGGGGGGAAATGGTGTAACCGCAGACTGACAGAATGTCGAATTAGAGATCAAGATGTGAGGGTAGGAGGCTGGGAGGTGGTGAATGATACAAAATCTTCAGTTTCCTGCAGTATTCATGTCTGTTGCCTTTTTTCAATGGAAGCCAGTGGGGGAAATGTGTACAATGTATATAGAATCAGAACAAATTCAGTATGATGGACAAAACAAGAAACAAATATATATTACAAATACTTCCTGGACATGTGAGATCTTCCATCTCTTGTAACTTTCAATCTGTTCTTTTCCCTGTAGAAAATCATGTCAGAGATCATGGATGAAGAAGACTCCAAACTAGACTTTGAGAAGAACCGAGCCAGACCTTTGCCAAGACACGTGGTGAGAACTACATGTAACTTCCTATCAATAACATATAGGCATTATTGAAATATTGTCCAATACAGAGGTTGTAACCTGTTGACGTGTACTTGAATTTCCTATTTGAATCCATTGAGTTCCAAGTATCCTGCATGTAGAAGGCAGATAATATGTATCTTGAGTACTGAGGCTAAGGAACCCACTGTGGAGACCTGACTGTGTTTTCCCTGTCTCCAGACTGAGAACATCCCCATCAAGCTCAACACAGCAGCCATCCTGAGGGAGGGGGCACTGGTGCAGAAGAAGGAGGACCATGAGCTCAAGAAGTATGTGTAATGTGCACCCAGGTTTTCAGATTTCAAAAATGAATTTCAAGGCCTGCACATAAAGAACAATCTACAGTAAATAATATCCTTCTCCATGTCCCCAGACTGCTGGATCTTGAGGCTGGTGCCAAGGATGCCAGTGAGTTCCTGGAGTGGCAGCAGAAGATGCGGCAGAAGGACTACGATGAGCAGTTGGCGGAGATCGAGAGACGGCGTCTGGAGGGGAAGCTGAGCCACGAGGAGGCCATCTTGGCACGTCAGACACTGGTGAAGGAGAACAGGCAGAAAGTCCAGGACATGAAGGAGGAGGTAGGACTGACTGCTGTTTCTGTTGCTTTGGGTGGCTGCAAAATACTTCCAGGAAGCTTTATGGTGGTAGGTAGGGAAAGAGAGGTCTTCAAGGTGTCTTGAAACTCATATGGTTGCAACAGTTCTATATAATAGTACAGTTACTGTAATAATACATTGAAAACACATATTTGCAGTGTCATGAATTCATTGTGGAGAGGTCACTGCAAATATGAAAACCACTGCAAAAGTTTCAAGATTTACTGTAGTCATGGGAGAAAAGCGCCATTATGGGATTGTCCAAAGTACTGAAACTGCTGCTGTTATAATCTAAGTATTTTTTTGTATATTTTGTGTTTTTCCTTTCACTGATGTACATTTGTATAACATATGTCCATCCCATTCAGACCCAACAGTTGATGCAGGAGTATGTACATCAGCGCATGCAAGATGAAAAAGAGATGAAACGGCTGGTGGAGATCGTCATGTCAAGTCACAAGAACGCCATCCAGGCACGCGAACAGCTCCGCGAGTACAAGCGGAAGATCGTGGAGGAAGTCAACATCGAGAGTCAAGAGCTACTGAGACAAGCCTTGGAAGATGTAAGTAGTCTCAAGAGCTGACTTTAGCTGCTGTGTTCTCTAACTTTTACTCCAACAATCTGTCGATCATGAGATCTTCAGATCTTCATGTAATCAGAATAATCAAGCATTCTCTGAAGGATTTTGATCTTCTGATAGTATAAACTATTTGATAGTTATTTAATACTGTCATTATTCAATATTTACAGGAGGAAGAGGAGATGAAGCGTAAGTTTGAGATCATCCAGCAGATCCGTGCCATGGAAGCTGTGCCTGTGGTGAGACAGAAGTTTGTGGACCTGGCATCCACTGCTGGACACCAGCTACTGAGTGAACTCTCCATCTTAGAGGTACATGGATCTATGTTTTGTATATATGTATTTATCAATCTTGCATACATATGGTACTCCCTTCAGTCAAATTAGGCTGATTTCCAATTGAGATTATGATGGGTAAAATTCAGTTCTACAAACAAATTGTACAAAGGAAATTGTACGAAGAAAATGTACATATCTCTCATTCTCTCAGAGTCTAAGCACGTTAGTTTCAAATCTACGGTAATTTGGGAAAACTGTAACATAAACGTTTAAAACAAAACATCAATAATATCAATCAACTAATCTAGAGTGAAGCAAGCAAGTCGTGAAGACTCAAACTTTTCTCTCAACAGCTGAAGGAGAGACTCGGTCTCATGAAGGAGGCACAGAGAAAAGCAGAAGAGGAGAAACGGGATGAGATCCTGACTGCCAAACAGGTGAGGACAACGTAGTTTTCTCTGGTACACAGGCTTTACCAAGCTAATGAAACTATTCAGTAAATGGGGATGAGAGCTTGGTTGACCAGTAATTTATTATGTTCACAACTCTTTCAATTCTTTTCCATGTACATGTGACTGCATGGTTAAACCTTACTGACACTATGAACTGTCATTCAAAGCACTGATGTGGTGCAACATCTCATACAGATCTTAATTCTGATTCTTTCCTATAACAGGGAAAGGACAAGAAGTTGATGGACACACTAGAGCAGATTTCGAGACATCGGGCAGAAACAAGCAAGGCTGCTGCCCTGAGGTAAGTTGCCCTGAGTTACAGTGGAATATGCACGGAATCAGCCAGAAATTCACAATGACAAACAATGCAACAAATTCACAGAAATTCTAAATTCATAATGGAGGTGTGACATATTCAATTTCTTGTTTTAATTGTACAGACTGGAGAAGAAAAGAGCAACCAGTGGGAAGAAGCCTGAGGTGAAAGACCCAAAACTGCAGGACCTTGAGAAGAAGCTACAAGAGAAGAAAGCTGAGCGGCTGAGAGAAGCTGAGAAGATGAAGATCAAGTCTGACAAGAAGTCGGCTGGCCGAACACAAGAACTTGCCAGAGAAAAGGTTAGTATGGTGGCTAGTCTGACTACTTCACACTTCAAGGTTGAAGGTTGTGATGACTGGTGACAGAGAATCTTGAGCTCAAATTGAACTGATTTTCATAGTGATGAGGAATCACATTGGTAGTTCTGGGAAATCGGGAACGGTTCTCTCGAGTTAGAGGAGTACAGCCACAAGCTCTCACTCAGGGAGGAGGCCCAATCAGTGATTGTGTAACACTGGCTATAGTTTATTGTATAGTGTAAAGGTCAATCGGAGACCTGCCATGAGCCATGTTGGAGCCATTCATCTTCACTCTTCTCAGAGTGCGTTCTGGAACAGTTTGTATTGGCTGTGGCATTAGGTAACTTTGGTTAGTCAAGTGTGATTTGTCCATTCTGTTTTAGTTCCCTCCTATAGCTGTCAGGCATCAAATTGAATACCAGTATCAATTTTTCAGTGTTTCATGCTGTTGGACTGTGTTTCTATAAGCTTTCTTCACTCTGCACACATTTCTCAGTCATTGATTCACTGACATTCACAATCACTGATGAAAGATAGTGGATGCCATCTGAAAAATCAGAGAATTAATGATGTAATTTGTATCATATAGTGATACTTGCTGTTTTGTACATCTTATGTCATAACTAACCATTTTTGTTCTGTGCTGTGATTGACAGAAAGCTCTGGAGGAGAACAGATGGAAGGAACTGGAGAGGACGAAGGAGAAACAGGCCAAGCTGGTAACACAGGGAATCCGTCCTGGGACCAGGTCTGCACAGATTCTCAACAGGTCTCCTGCTGCCAGAAAAGTCACAGCATAACAAGGCTTTATGACCGTTGGAAAGAACTAGTGATAGGAAGAACTACTTTAGATCTCATTTTGAATTACATTAAAACCTGGCTTTTTCCATCCAATACACAAGGTTAAGACCTCTCAAAACCAAGGTCAAATACATTGTACCTTTAGTTGAGGTGCTACAATGTATCCAAGCTGTATATACACATTAGCTTCATAATCTAAATGAATTTAACTGGTTCAGTGTTACTATGATAATCACAGATGCCCTACACTGTAAAAATACCAAAAGTGTATGTCACAATCTTGCACTGTCCTGGGAGGCTAATGTTGGCTGACATGTAAATCAATAATAATATAGTAGCATTTACATGTAAGTAATCTTCGTGGTCTATTTAGCTCCTGTTAAATAAGAATATTGAAGACACTGCTGCTATAAGTAGATCTTGTACATGTATAAATGGTGCCAAGTGGATTAACTGTATATAAAGCACTGTATTTTTGTGCACACTTGAGGGTGTTATTGATCAGTTTATTCTGTATATAGAATTGCCTTACTGAAGTTTTCCAACACATTTACTTATCACACAATAATGAAAAATGATGAACTGCAGTTGTGTACGAGTATTGAAGTTTTGTTTTGGGTGTGTTTGTGTTTGTGTGTGTTTGTGAGTGTGTGTGTGTGTGTGTGTGCTCGTTTTCCACATGGGTGGGGGGAATTACCTCATTAGAGGCCACAAAAGGTCAGACGAGCAGTGGGAAAATGCCATAGACGGAGTGGAAATTCACGATGCATACAAGAATAAATTCACAAAACTAGTCTGAAAAGTCAGATTTGTTGTTCAAAGTCTTGGACACACGAAAAGTTTCATGAATTCAATATCTTTATTTAGAACACAGTTAAACTTGATAGTTATTTTCCTGTACATATAAGAAAACTGTTGCAAAATCAGTTTGGCATGGAAGACGTCCACAGAATTTTGACACCATTCTATTGAAAAATATACCTTTCTTCAAAATGTCACAACATTGTTTGAATTGACAGCTTGTTTTGCTGTAGAATATTTTGTCTATAAAAACAAACAAAAAGACTTTTTAACAGAATTTCATAGGTGATATAAATGACTGAAATGCATACTTCTCAAACTGGGTTTATGTACAAAAATGTAGTTGGCACATTACAAATGTTTACAGATTATCTTCTATAAACAACTCTTTTTTACTCCTGAAAATTATGAATTTTCCTAAGGAAGAAAAAGACTTAGGTACATTTTGCTACATGTTATGTATACACTATCAGGCAATACCAATTGAATCCAAACAATCATCTGCACATAGCACTCGAAATACACACACAAAAATTTACAAATATTCTTGATTGCACAGTTTAAGATGAATGAAATTAAAGGTTATAAAAACACCACACTTTGAATGTAATTGTAGCTTTTAAATGTTGGAGACCAAAGCTTTCCATAAAGCTTTAGTAAATGATGTCATTCTTTCTTCTCAGACTGTCCAGCACTTTCTGTGAATAGAAAATGAAACAGCAACATTTATGAGCAAATACAGCATTTTTAATTCCATCTCAATCCCCAGGCAAAAAATGATGTTCTAAATCAACCTTTTGCAGAAATGGACCATCACAAAATTACTTCTGCCCATACACATAACCCTCAACCCCCTCCATACAACAATGGACTACTCACCTTCTTGAATAACTGTGCCTTGATCCTGTTGGACTTGTACGAGGCCTGTCTTCTCTCCTGAGCTTTCTTCCTCTGCACCTCAGGCAGCTTTTCATACATCCTGGGGATGACAAGATATATTTATCATTTTGCCTGCTTGATCCTTAAATGGTCCACAAAAATCTGCAAATCAAGACATGAAACTGCCTGAGACAAACATTTTACATTGTCTACAGGTAGTTAACAGCTTTAAAGTTTATGAAAGTGTCCAATGAAAAAAACAGTAACACCAACCTTTTACTCCTGGCTGCCATCTCCTTCTTGGTAATGATCCTTTTCTTAGGCCTGTGCAGATTTTCTGAAGATTCAACAACATTCATCAGGTGAATCTGTATGTATTATCACAATAGAGCAATATACCAGATTGTAAAATGTTGAGTGGCCCATCCACTAACTTAGTAATTATGTAAATACATGTACATGTAATAAGTTTCAATCATAATATCATATGGCTTTCAATTTGGTTTGAGAGAAAAGCTACTTCTGTACACACAACTCATGGTACAACAATTATACAACTGCACAATAGACACAACAATAAGGAGACCACCACTATCACGCAACCTACTACGAGGAGTTACCAATCCCAGACCGCATGTTCATTGTTGTCTCCTAGCATAGTCACCTATACCTCCTACCAGTGTTCGAAGTAGTCTTTGGACTTGCATTGCTTGTACAGTATTAAGAACTGACCAGACTGAGGGGCGGGTTCGGTTGCCTGGCGACGCCTCCTCTCCTCCCCAAACAGCCTAATCCTCTCCAGCTCAAACTCCTCCTCGTGACGGCGCTCCTCCGCTGCCAGCTCCATCCGACGCACGCGCTCACGTGACTTGGAGATGAAGGCCGGGTTACGCATCTTCAGAGCCTCCTACAGAAGGGTGGTTCCAACGAAGACATTGTTATATAATATATATAAGTAACATACTAAATTCACTTGTCTTGACCTTTATACACAGTTGTCTATGTTCCTCTTTGTCATTGTACCTACAATCTCTAGTCTCGTAAATACAAACACATGAGCAACTGGTAATAATCCTGTTGTTGTGGCTCAGCAGTAGAAAAGAACAACAAGTGTCTTTGTCTTTAGTAAATGTTGTCATTAATGACATCTTGCATCCATGCTGCAAGTCTCATTCCAGAGCTGAAAGTTGGAAATTAGAAGAACTATGTACAAACCTGCAGTGTAAGCCTCTCCAGTGGCCTGGGTGGTTGGTTGGGAGCCCTCCTGTGAGGACTGGTGTCGTCCATCCACCTGACGATCTGGTCCTGTCTGTCCTGCGGGTACTGCTGACGCTCCTGGAACGGTCTCCTCCACGGCAGGTCCTGGGCAACCGGCACGTACCACGCCAGGCCTGGACATCAGGACAAAAACGCCTAAACATAAACAAGCAATGTAATAGGCCAGAACATGAAAATCACATGAAATATATGTATATGAAATGCATACAACTTACAAAGTATAAATCTGTGGCTAAATCATGGTTTTCTTTCCAATGTCAAGAGAAAGTGTGAACAGTACTAGTCAAGATCACAGCCAAGCACCAGAGATACATGGTGTAAAAAATGCTTACCTGGTCGAGCATTTACTGAGTGTTCCTCCCCCTTTTCTGTAGACTTTGGCTTGGTCTCCCTGGCTTCTTTCCGCTTCTTGACAGACTCAAACAAGACTGGGTACTGTGGGGCCTCCTGAGGCTGATGGTCCTTACCCTTCTGCTCAGGAGTGGTTACTGGAACGGACACCACGAGTTTATCGTCATGACTGCCTGACCTTGCTCTTCTCCTCTCTGGCAGATTGTCCTCCGTAGGGCTGCCAAGAGAACCACCACTGGATTTCCTTTGTCTCCAGGGCTTATCCTCAACCATAGGCTGGAACCAGGCCATTCCCCCTGGGCTACTGATAGCAGAAACATTCCCTTCATCAGCTGGCCTTCCTCTGTCTGCTGCTCCAGACTTGTGCATGGGGGTGGACTCGTAGTAGATGGTTTTGTCTGGTTTCTGCTTCCTTCTCTCCTTTGGCCTCTTTGTCGATGTATCGCTGCCCGAGTCCAGAGAAGGTGTGGTCTGTGTTCCTCTGCTCCTCTCCCGAGGAGTGCTGACGGAACTGTCGACACTTGAGTTCAGCGAGGGCGTGGTCTGTATCCCTATGGTAACCTTGTTGCCATGGGGAGCAGGAGTGGAGGCAGTGACCTATGTGGGTAGATTAATGCAGGATTAAGTAAGGACTCCAGGTTGAGTAGTGAACATATCAGGTGTTTTTACTGATGGAGATCCAAAAACACCATTTGATTGATTGAAAATAAACAAACCTGGAGTCAGCAGCCAACAGAAGACTACATCATCATCATCATCAATCATCCTCCGAGGAGGTGGAGCATACAAAGTTAGATCTCCAGAACTTTCTGTCCTTCATCGCAGAGATAAGTTCCAGGCCCTGCAAGCCTGTTTCAGTTTCTATAAGTTTCTTAAGTGTTACGTTTGGCCGTCCAACTCTTCTCTTTGTATCAGGGTTCCAGAGAAGAAGCCTACTGGCTGGTTCTTCACTACGTACAACATGACCGGCCAAGCTTAGTCTTCAACATTTTGAGAAGACTACAATTACGGCTTGTAACTTTATTTAAGGTATATTGATGTTGAATTCTACTAAATTGTATTTTGTTCACATGTACATTGTATTACTGTAGTATCAAAAATGGAGTTCGGAAAGACTAGTAAATGCATGGCATTATTACTAATAGAGATTCGAAATGAACAAACCGGTGAAGGGAACACAGCTCCGAAGTCATTCTTCTTCTCCTTCTTGGGATGCCTCCGCTCCTGTTTTCCTGCTTTCTGTTTCCTCTGAGGAGGTTGGGTTGGTTTCTTGAAGGTGTCCTCTTCTCTTGTTTCCTTCCTTGTTGGCTCCTTATGTCTGGCCTCCTGGTATCTCTTGATCCGTTCTTGCCTCTCTTCCCTTCCCTCTTTCTTGGCTTTACACTGACATGGCACACTGCTGTCAGTGTCATTGGGGCTGGACTCTGTTTCCTGTGGGTATAAACTTAAAGTCTTCCTGGTTTGCTTCTTCACGTCTCCAGCATCTGAGCTTGCCGTACTCAAAGGAGAGGTGTCATCGGTCAAGTCTCTATCTGTCTCAGGCACAGGACTTAAGGTCAGTGTGGACGCTCCACTACTCAGATATGATAACCCGCTCTTTTCTCTCTTCTTGCCGTGCCGATCCTTCTGCTTCTGGATCTTCTTGGCCAAGTCCCGCAGCTTTGGGTTGCTCTGTCCAAACACCTGGAACACCACAAGAAGACTGTTATCATGTTTTTCAATTATTGTAATACTGCAATGTAATAACAGAATGCTGGACTCTATTACTCTGTGGATCACCTTCAGCTTTTGTACTTACAAAATTGTAACATTTTCAATACTGTAATACACTTTAAATGAATTATATACATTTTGAGGAGGTGGCTTTCCATTAACATTCTTCTTTCTGCCCAATCTTCAATAAACAAATAAAAAAAACACCTGGTAGAAGCGTGCAGAGTCAATGCTGGACACACTGGAGCTGTCTGAAGCAAGAGAGTTGACATCTGAGCTGGCAGGGCTGTGCAAGTCTCCAAAGATCTTAGTCAGCCTCTGTGTGTTGATGCTGTCCAGAAGAGATGCTGCAGAAGGATCTTCTCTGGGAGATTTGGTACCTTCTCTTGGAGGGGCCTCAGCTTTGGATTTTCTTGAAGGCTTCTTCTCAGCAGGTCTGTTTTTGCGTTGATTTTCTTGGGGCTTCTCGAGCCTTTCTTCAGTCAATGTCTCTTCACCTTCAGTTAGAGTACTAGAGGCAGAGCCTGGGGGTTCGGGGTACTTCTCCCGATGTCCTTGCTTTCTTTCAGATTTCTGGGCTTTCTTTGCCACTGCTGGCATTGTGTCTGGAGTGGGTGTGTCAAGGTCCTCTGTCTGCTCCAGATCCTTCATCTTAACCTTTAATGTTGAAAAACACATGGAGGACTGGATTAAAGCTAAGAAAGATGGATACAAACAAACCTTATGCAGCTCTGGCAGTAGATACAATAAGTAGAATGTCCTGATAAGCATTGAGCTCTGACCTATAAGAGACAAACTTGACTTGTTTTTCGTAGTTGTAATTAGTACACTGTTATTGTAATTAGTACGCTGTGTAGTTGCAATATGTGTGTATTGTAATCATGCACAAATATATGTACATGCTGCATTTTTCTGGATGGAATCCAGCTGGAAGAGTAGACTACAATGTAGATTTATTCTAATCAAATGGAAATCTAATAAAACATCAAACATCTTAACCTTGCTATGTTGCTCTACATTGTATTGCTTATTTTATATGTTGTGCAAGACTATTTTTGTAATGTGTCATTTGGTCTATTATTCGTAACATGTGATGCACAACACCAGACTATGCTCCATTTGTAAATTGCATTTGTGACATTTCAATGGATTGAAATGAAATCACACCTTGATGGCATCACGTAGTTCACATGACGTCTCTCCTTCCTCCTGAGGTGGCTCAGCCGTTCTCCCCTGTTGCTGTGCCTTGCGCTGGACGTGGTCCTTGTACATCTGCTGCAGGCTGAACTTCAGCGGGTCCCTCATCATGCTGGCCAGCTCTTCCAGCTGTGCAGGCTCCAGCTTCTCCTCCTCCTCCATCTTACTCACAACCTCCTCCTGGAAGTTGTTCCAGAGCTCGTCCAGGTTGGGCCTCCCCTCTAACCTCCCTTCAACCCTCTCCTCCAGTTCCAGCACCTCTCGGAGGACGTCCTGATTCCTTCGGAGAGTCGAGATGTCGTAGTCCCTACGAGGACTATCCCTGGCTCTTCTTGTGTCGTATTCATGTCTGTAAGTGTCTCTGTAGGGTCTAGTCTCTCTATACCTTCCGGGGCTTGCAGCCTGGTATCTCCCAGGACTGACTCTTGCACCCCTATCTCTGTCAGGACTGACATAATCTCTGATCGGAGAACGATCCGCCCTTGTCCTTCCTACAGCTCCATGTCGATCATAACCTGCTGCACCTGGAGGCCTCACATCAGTTGGTCTTTCTCGTATGTAATCCCTCGTTCTATCTCTACCGTATCCACCATCCCTGTCCCCTCTATACCTGGATGGAGATGTCTCTGTTGCTCTCCTGTAGCCCAAGTCTTGTCTGGCTGCTGGTCTGTGGTAGGCTTCAGCTGGTGGGGAGCGACGTCGGTCTTTGAGTCCCCGGTCCCTGAGCAGATGGTCGTCCAACTCTGCCCTAGTTAAGCCCCTCCCTTTCAGAGGTGACTGTGGTTCTGGCTGCAGTGCTTTAAAGTCTTCCTCCCTGTCTTCTGGTGGAGACCTACTCTGCAGACTGGCTGGGTACTCTATAAAGGAAGCAGCTGGCTTGGTCCTGATGAGGTCACCTGCATCTGTAGATCTGGGACGTTGTCTCTCTCTTGTACCTTCCCCAGACATGATTTCCCTGGCTCGAGCTGGGTGGTCTACAGGCCTGTCTTGAGCCCTGTCCCTATGATCACTCAGGCGGTCTCTACCATCTCTGTGTACTTCTCTGTGACCTGCAGCTGCTGGTTTATCCCTTGTTAAATCACTCCTTCTCCCTTCACCAGGACTTTTTTCCTTTCTCTCAACCACTCTGAACCTCTCCTCTCTAGACCTATCTGTGGCCGATGGAGTCCCATCCTCCCCACCCAGGCTTCTTCTCTCCCGTTCTATGATTGCCCTGACTCTCTCCTCATTGATTCCATCAGACTCTCCCCCAGGCTTCACCCTGGGTTCTTTCTGCAGCTCCCTGGCTCCCGTCCTGGCTGACTTGTCTTGAGGGGAGCCCTCCTGGGACTTGGAGAGTTTTGACAGGTACTTGGGTGACTTGCGTGTGCCATAGATGCCCACTGAGTGGATGGCTTCAAAGGTGTCTTTCCGGGTTCCCAGGTAGCTGGCTGGGAAGGAGGGTGACTCTGCATCATCAGACCCTGTAAGCAAATTTGTTAGTAAGTTAAGTTCCATGACTTTAAAACCAGAAAACTTGTATGTATCGGGCCATTAGTGGCAATTGCATGTTAGAAATATGCATCATTATTGTGTAACACCTGCATGAATGTGTTTGTCTACTGTTATCTCTTTGCAAGGGTTTTTGGCCAACTACTTCTGAATATCACAGCTACACATGTATTATATGCATGCCCTTCCATAGAGTGGACATACATTTACATACTGCACACATTACTGATGTATTTGTACATGTCATAGTAAAAGCTGTTTTCCCACTGACCCAGATGGGTGCTCTCCAGAGTGGTCTGTGAGACCGGTGTGTCCGGTTCCTTGTCCTCCGCCAGAGGGACGTAGAAAACATCAGGACTGCCCACTGGACGGTACAGCTGCAGCCGCGGGCCTGGCCTGAGACAACAGGTGTCAGGGTGATTAATTAGTCACATACGTAATACAAAATCAAGCAACTGACAACTAGTCATGGACAAATTCTCTGATGAAGAGACTGAGTCTGAAGACAGTGTAACCTATACCAGTACTATCTAAATTGAGGTTACGCTTGTCTTCAAAATCATTTCCACTCCCTGATGAAAGAGAGTGGACGCTATCTAAAATGTCTGACTCTTCAGAGAATTTATCCACATAATGTTCTACCTGGATGTTCCACCTTCATCAATGCAGTGATATGATTCATACCTGATTAACTCAGTCATTTCTGTGAAATGATTAAGCTGAGTTGTGAAGGTAGGATGTCACAGCTACCAAAGTTGTCAGATTCAAACCAAATCCTCTATTAACGGAAGAAACCCGGGTAAACACTGATGCTAATAAGGGAAGGAAAATGCCTATCCAGAGGGATGTTAAATATTTTGACAGTACAGTGCAGACCTTGGGTCAATCTTACTGGCCCTCTCTGTCCCTCATGTCAGGAGGGAGTATATAAGATGTATCTGTGGTATTGACAGGGTAAATATTTGACATCTGCTCTTTAGATTGAGGGAAGAAAGTCTAATTTGTTCTTCCGGACCTCTTGCTTATTAGCATAGAAAATGAAGAAGGCATGTTTAGACCTATAAGAGCAATAAGAGATATGAGCAACCAAAAGTTCTGTTTGACGTGTACTTCAGTTCAAGTAAGGACTTAGACTGGAGTGGAATGTTTGCCATAAAAACATACACTACAGCATCATGTATATATGATTTTTTTACAAACAAAATACCACTATACAAGTTGACAAAAACTACAGAAACTCAATAAATACTTGAAATACATGTACCTTCCTCCCCTGACTCCTTCCCTTGGTCCCCCAGTAAGGCTTCCTCTAATGCCCCCTGTCTGCACGTCTGGGTACTGCAGGGTTTGGTCTTCACGAGGCTCAGCAGTGGCAGCTACCTTTTCCTTCTTCTCTTGTGGCACATGCATTTGTGCTTCTCTCAAGCCCATGGACTTATCATCATGATGATAACCCTGCCTGCTAGGTTCTCTGGATCTTTGCGGGGTGGCCCAAAAGTCTGCATTTCTCTCATCCTCCTCTCCATATTTGGTGTCAAAACTTTGTCGGCTGCTCCTTGCATCATGTCTTTGATGGTTATAATACATTTCATCCCTGTCAGTTGAATGCGTGGAGTGGTGGGATGCCCTTGATGGACGACCTTCACTTGCCCTCTGGCTGACTCCTGACCTGTCACCTCTGACCACTCCTGTCCCGACCTCGGTTGGGTCCCATGTTTCTTGTGACACTTGCGGCGTCATGCCCAGCAGGTTCACGCTGTGGTCAAACTTGTTCTCGGCAACTTTCGTCAGCTGGTTTGAGATGAGATTCCTGGCAAAGTCGAAGGCGGTGAAGGGCAGTCCAATTGGAGCGAAGGTCGCCGACTCCACACTCAGTCTGCTGGACACTGACGACCGGGATGACCTCATGCCCTCGCTTGTCCGTCGAGAGCGCTGGATGTCGTAGATGCGTGTTGGCGTGCCTGACAGGGCCTGTTCTGTCCGCTCTGCCTCCTCCAGCAGGGCTTCGGTGATGGCGGTCTGCTCCACAAGCTCTGCTTCCTTCAGGATGGCGTCAACCCTCCTCTCGGGGGACTCCCTCGCAAGCAGGTGCCTCACCTGGAAGGAATGAATTTACGATTTATTATTTGACATGGTTTTGTACGACATTTATAATTTACGTGAATCTTCTTGCATCATTGATTTCATTTGATGTTTTCCACACAGAGCATACTGAAAAAGACAGTTATAGGAAGTATGTTTCCCTGGTTAAAAAAAAAACAACAAAAAATTCAACAGACCTTATAGGCGAGTGAGTCCAGGGAGTCTGTGGTCCTGGCTGTGTCCAGCTGTGACACGGTGGACGTCTGACTCGGCGCTCGTCTGGGAGACACAATCTGGCTCATCACAGAACCCCGACTGGTCCGGCTCCGAGGAGAAAGTGGTTCCTCAGCAGCCTTCCTGTTAGACTCCCTTCTCACACTCTCTTCAGACAGTGTAGGAACAGGATTCCCTTCAGTACTCTGGGGTGGTTCTGTCCTCTCTTCCCCACCACTGATGGCAGACACCCTGATAGATGACTTGCTGTCGTGAGGGTACTGGTATCTTTCCTCTTCATCTCTGTCTGCCCCAGACAACCTGGCCCTGCTCTCTAATGAGCTCCTGCTAGTGTGTTGTGGTCTATCCAAACCATACAATGGGGATCTGTCTTCTTCTGACATCCTTTGTTGTGTTTTGTCCACTCCGGCCATGTAACTTTCTCCTACTGTCTTTTCAGCGTGTTGAGGTCTATCCAACCCATACAATGTGGACCTGTCCTCCACCAAGGTCTGTCCTGTATGTTGTGCTTTTTCCATTCCCGACAGCCTGGACATGTTTTCTAGTGAAGTCCGACTTGCGTGTTGTGATGGTTTATCCAATCCCGATGACATTCTCGACCTGGTTTCTATAGACCTTCTATCAGCATACTGGCTGGAAGCAGAATGTCTGGCTGTCGGCACACCATCACTTTCAAGGGACCCTCTTTCAGCCATCTCCTTGTCATACTGCTCCAACAGCTGTCTGGTTTTCTCATGAAGTTCTGCCACAGAGGGACCTCGGGGGGTTTCTCCCTCGTCATCTCTTCCCAGGCCCAGCCTGGTCTGTAGGTCCACCTTGTAGCTGGGGTCAGCCAGGAGGGGGGAGGTCGGTCCGTCCGTGTTACTGTACCGATCCAAGTATGAAGGGGAAGTGAGAATATCGTACACTTGCTGGGCGAGGGAATCTCGGCTGCTAGCAGGGCTCAGCGTGCGACCTGTCAGTCCGCCATTTTGTGTGCGTGCAGTGTTGTTGGTACGTGCCGTCTGCACAGCACTCTCTCCTTCCAGAACATCGTTTTCTAGCTGTAGTTTAAACTCCTGTCTGTTCACTTCCTCATATTGTGCTGTAGTGTGTTCAGCTGGACCAGTAGTGTTGGGGCTGTGCACTGAGCCAATAGGGAGGGACACACTCTGAGACAAGGTGTCCACCGTGTAGTGTGTGTGACCACTCGCACGAGACAACTCCTGCTGATCCAGCTCAAAACTTGGGGCAGTGAACGTGCCAGCTCCTCCCTCGTGTGAGGTGGTGTCTCCTGGCAGAGCTGTGCTGACAAACTGATATGGCTGTGTATAAGAACTAGCAGGTAAATCACTTGTTCTGCTTGTAGGCTGTTGACTAACTCCTGGATCTTTGCCTTCCTGCTGTACATCTGCAGAAGAAGTGAAGTCAGCAGCTCTGCTGAGTCTTGCCTGGCTCCTCACCTCGTCATACCTAAATGAATGCATGAATGAATTAGTTAATTAATTAATCGATAATATGACAAAGCTTGACATAGGAAAAGACTTGATTTACATTAAAACATTTGTGTGTGATAATAGAGTGCCAGAGACCGATTTACATTTCATAAACATTTCTGTCAAAATACGTGAACATGATAAAGCATTGACATCATATGTAATTGGTAAACATTATATTATAAAGGTACAAAGAGTAAAACTCTCCAGTAAACTCACTGTAAAGCACCAAATATTTGGAGACAGAAAGATAAGGAATGATACAAGTATTTGCAATCGAGTAAGAATGACTGCTAAAAGAAATCAGGTAGAAGTTGCATGTCGCACCTCTCCCTCCTGCTTCTCCTGCCACCTCGGGGCGACACGTGCAGCTCCGAGTCACTGGCACTTCTCTGGGAACTCGTCAACCCAACAGGCCTGGACGGAGAGCCGTTTGCAGAACTTGGCCTCTCTGGGTCGATCCAGAACTCCTCGTAGCTGGACCTCTTCAGGGTGTGTTCTCTGCCTGCTAATGATGTGACGTGTAGGGGTGATGTTTCTCCTGGTGAAACACCCACACCTAGTGTTTGACTATCAGTCACCGGCCTCTGGGCATGGGATGTATACCCTTGTGTAGAACTGGTCCTTTGGATTTCTCGGGGAACTCCCTGACTGCTTAGCTCACTTCTTGCAGACAGCTGGTGATCACTTGTGCCAGGGGAGTCGCCACCTAACAGATACCTCACCCGGTCTGCTATTGAATCCTCGCTGTCGATGCTCTCCAGATTCATGCCTCTGATGTAGCTACTTCGAGAAGTACGAGCTGATTCAGGTTGTACGTACTGGCTTGGTGTGGTGCTGGCTAATTCTTCCTCGTTCCTGGGTTTCTTAACATCAGGGGGAGAGTCTCTGGGTGACAGCTCTCTGTCAGACAGTCTCTTTCCAACATAATCTGTCTTCCCCTCCAGCTGTTTTACTAAGGTTTCCTGACTGTGAGGACCTGCCTCCAGCTCCACAAGTCCCAGGGGAGGGAACCTCTGCACATCCTCAGACAGGTACTTTCTCTGGGGCTCCTGTGAGGGATTTAAAGAATCCTGACTTATCTGGCTGTGCCTGCTTTCCTGGGAGGGTGGTGGAAATGCACCCCATGCTTGCCTTTTGAAGGCCATGTCATCAGGCTTTGGCACTGTAGTCCCTGCAGACATGTCCATTGTTCTCTCCTGTCCACTGTTCACCCTAGAGGGTTGTTCTTCTTCCTCTGCTTCCTTGACTTGAGGTGTGGGCAGTTTGATTTGTGTGAGCGGGTCTACGGGGAGAACCATGTAAGGGGTGGATTGGCTCAGCGGCTTCCTGCCGGCAATAGAGTCGTGAATGTTCACCATATTGTTACTCTGACTCGAAGACACCACATCATCAACATCAGCATCAAAGTCTCGCTCTGACTTCTCTCTGGTACCTGTACTTGTGACTCCATCATCACTCCTGCCAGCAGCAGACTGACGTGCACCCAAACCTGAACATGTGAAACAAGATCAAGAACTGAACATGACTGTGTAAAATTGCCACTTACTATACTATCTTGACTTTTGATTGTGCAACACAACAATTGTTACAAAGTAAATGGATTAGTACTAGAGTATGTGTCTTAGGTTATATTTACTGTATTTACAGCTTTCTAACAGTAATGATGACAGCACAGACTTTGAGAAGAGACCAGCAGCCCAATTTCAGTATTTCATTAACCAAACAAACTAACTCAAACCTGATAGCCTGGAGCCAGCCTGAGTGGTGCCCATACCTGATAGCCTGGAACCAGCCTGAGTGGTGCCCATACCTGATAGCCTGGAGTCAGCCTGAGTGGTGCCCATACCTGATAGCCTGGAGCCAGCCTGAGTGGTGCCCATACCTGATAGCCTGGAGCCAGCCTGAGTGGTGCCCATACCTGATAGCCTGGAGCCAGCCTGAGTGGTGCCCATACCTGATAGCCTGGAACCAGCCTGAGTGGAGTCTCCTAACAGGTCCTTCACCCTCTGTGCGAGAGAGTCCTGGCTCTCCATGCTGTCCAGGTTCATCTGTGATATCCCATGAATCCTGCTGCTGCTCTCCGTGGACAGCAGGGATATCCTGGACATCACTCCTGCCGGCTCCCTCTCCAGACTGCCTCTTCGGACACTTCCTTCTGATGTGGAGGACGTGGGAAAGGTTTCTTGTCCTGTCACACTTGGCCTGGGTCCCAGCATGTCCAGTATCCTGCTGACCTGTGACAGTAGTAGAAAAATGTCCAGACTATGGAAAAAATTCACACAAAATGACTAATAGTAAATACCGGTAAATTGGTGAACGTACCAAGTAGCTGCTCAGAAAACAACAAGAAATATGCTATGTTGGTGAAGGTTTGACAACCAGGTAAATAATACTCCTAGAATATCATAGATACTAATCGAAAAGTCTACTACTGGATGAATAACAAACATTACTTCCGGACGTTTCAAGTGACATCCACCACTCTTCTTCAGTGTGTAAGTGGAAAAACTGGTTGAACATGACAAAGACTAATATAGTCATTGATGTGATGTGTAAAGGAGATGTGGTTCAACCAGTTTTTCCAGTTACTCATGTGTTGACGACTAATAGTTCTGTTAGTTCATAAATGATGCTGAAGAAGAGTAGGAGATGTCACTCAAAATGTCCAGAAGTAATCTCCATAATTTATCCAGTAGTAGAGTTTGAATTTTCACACAAGAAATATGTGTCGTCATGCCTTCAACTAAAAAAGTACCAGAGTTATAAACCCAAAATTGATCATTGAGGTGTGCAAAATATTTTTCTAGAATTCTCATAGGGAGGAACCAAGTACACCAAGAACAGTAGGTGTATTCTCACTAGATACCTTTAATCTCTTAATGCATGCAGTTATGCTATGGAATGGTTAGGTGACCGTGTGGGTTGTGCAGTGTAAGACTAACATAACAAGCTGCTACCTTTGACACTGGTGTGTTATGCCAAAGGGCAGCTATACAATACAACAGACTCTGACCTGATCTACAGCTGCGTCAGCGCCCTCGTCATGTTCAGGCAGGGGGTACTCGGACAGGTCCGGCTGCTCGGCCAGCAGAGTTCTCTCCTCCATACCAGGGTGGGACAGAGTGGAATGACTGGACATTGTGTGCTGTGAGAGAGAAGAGTGACTGGACTTGCTGTGTGGAGGGAGAGAGATGCTGCTTGTCGTATGCTGTGACAGGGACCCTCCCTCCAGTTTGTCTTGATGATCACTTCCTTCCAAGCTTTTCATCCCTTCCCCGACGAGTGTATCCTCTGATGATCTTGTTTCCTCGTGGGGTAACTGTGAACTTGTGTAGGCACCAGCAGTAGGGCTCAATCCTGGCATCTCCATGCTGTCCTCAAACCCAACCTATAGAGATATTAGTACATGTAGTACAGCTGTGGTAAGAATGTGTGTATCAATTCTTCGGTGAACCTTTGAGTAAAGACATACAGTAGAACTATCAAGTAAAGTCTTGATATAATTCAAATCAGTACTGGTATTCTTATCATCATAAAAGCATATAGTCATATGTTAATTGTATATTTATTTATAACAAATAACTTCCCATTACATAGTCTGAACAGGTCTTGTCACTTGTAATACAAGTTGTATTATACATGTACCAGTATTTCTATTCAGTGGTACCATTGATATATATTTGTACATGTAAGCCATTTCACTTGAAGTTGAAATTAAAGCATCACAGGCCCGCACCACTGTATACTGAATTCTTTTAATTTTGCAAGAACTGATTATTAAAAAAACCTACCTGAGGAAGGGCGAAGCTGTCCCCTGATGGAGACTTGTGTGCCCCTCCAGCCCTGAGGATCCTGACGTGGGGTGGGGACTCCTCACTCGACACATCCCCCTGGGAGGGGGACTGCTCCAGGGGCAGCTGCTCCAGGGACGGGTAGTCTTCTAACTCAGAGAACTCGATGAGATCTGGGGGGGACTGGACTGTGAGAGGCTGGGTGATGTCCTTCGTGTGCACAGGAAGGGATCGTGTGGACACAGCCTGGGCTGCCAGGGGCTGGAAGTCGTGCATGTAGCTCTGAACATTAAAAAAAAATAGAAACACAAAATATTATCTCTGAGTCTCTATCTGGAATGAGAAGGGCTGACAGAGGAAATCAAGACACACATATAAGCAGCCTTCTCCTGATATATTGAGAGAATAGACTCATGCAAATCCCTTATTTAGAAACACTTTCAACACATGGATTGAATGACTCTGATTGAGTCACCAAGGGACAAAGAACGTGGCTATATACACTCCCGGAGTGTATATAAAATCTATTTGTCTTTTATATACACTCCCGGAGTGTATATAAAATCTATTTGTCTTTTATATACACTCCGGGAGTGTATATAAAATCTATTTGTCTTTTATATACACTCCGGGAGTGTATATAAAATCTATTTGTATTTTATATACACTCCCGGTGTGTATATAAGATCTATTTGTCTTTTATATACACACCGAGAGTGTATATAGCCACGGCGAGGGACAAAACCACAAGAGAAAAAAAAATGCACGAACTTGAACAAAGTGCCCAAGTTTTCAAAATCTATCCAGTTGCTTGAGTAACTGTTGTGTGTGTGTGTGTGTGTGTGTGTGTGTGTGTGTGTGTGTGTGTGTGTTTTGTGCAAGTCAATATTAAGTTGAATTCTCTTCAAGTTACCTCATCTTCTGAACCTCCCCCGTCATGTGATGACCCTCTGGACCCACCAGATCTGCCACTTTCATCAGACTCCATCATCATCTATTCTATGTGAGCAACAAAAAAAAATGGGGTAAAACAAAATTTTATAGATATATAATCAAGTGTACATTAGTGAGAAGAATCCATCATCACTCAGTATTTAGATAGAATGAGGATATATGGAATGATCGTGCACAGCATAAGTCACAAACAGTACAAGTTAACCCTTTGTTTACCTGCGCCCCCTCTCTTACGAACGCCCAACAACAACGCAACGCAAGACACGTATTCGGACGATTTTCCTGCAAGTTTGTCAAAAAAAGGCTGCTTCTATACTTTCAGAGGTGGTGGCTGGAATCTTATCTTTACATTATGTACCTACCTATTTTTCACAAATGTATGACTCACCGAGAACGTCAATGTTTACGATTTCTCACTTTCAAAATTCGAAATTCCGCCGCCATATTGGTCCGTAACTGTTTTCTCGCTTATGACGTCAAAATAACGCGAGATTTTGATTAGCTGCACCATTTGGAATAGGGGTTGGTGATATTTATTAAAACGAAGGATGATTTTGACAGCAAAAAACACATTTGTGATGTCTCTAATCTTATTTCTATAAGTTACATACTATTGCTATGCCCTGATGGGCAAAATATAGCATTTTAATGAAATTTGGACCCCAAAAATCAATATGGTACCGTCTTAGGTTGACGTCATTGGCGCGGGAAACAGAAACAAGAAAGCAGGACAGAAGGTATTTCAGTACGGCACGGGTCCACGATCCTACATCTAAAATTGAATATCAATATGTTTATATGGTACAGTGTAATTGATGATTAGTCCTTGATTGAACCGTTCAGTTAGGCGCTCTTTGGCTGTGTTTGAGTGTTTAATACTCGCTCCTGTGTGTGTAACGTTAGAGTTGGGAAGTTCTGGGGAGGGGGAGGAGCGAAGTACAGTATGATAAACCTTAGTGTAGCTATCAGTGTGGTGGCGACTATTGAAACGGCATCGGGCATATGTGCACATATTGCCTGCTGTCTTATATATGGATGGCATTGTACGAGACAGCCGTCAATATGCCCGATTCAAGAGTCGCCACGGCTTATACAAACTGTACATTTACCAAGCAAAGTATGAGCTAACGTTAACGGGGGGTGCCCTAATTCCGACCCATCCCTAATACCGAACTAGTTTGAAAAATCCTTGTTGCGGCGTTATGCATGGGAGCACGTGCCTAAAAATAACCACAAGAATGGACAAAGTTTTTGTGTTGATATCGGTAATCTCACAAAGTTTGTTGTAGTTCGTACACTCCGACAACAGACGAGTGAAAAATCTGTGTGAATTCGACGCTTGTTCGGGGGTTGACGAGCGTGTCAAAAATGCAGGTTTTGCTTTTCAAACAGCCACTTTGGAGCAAGTCGCGTAATCGTAAAAAGAGGACTTGTTTGGGACAGAAAAACAGTTGTAGATTGTTTTAGTCATAATTTGTGTATTATAATTTCTAAACTCTCTTCTCAGATCGACCTGTGTTAAACACTAGGTCGGAATTAGGGCACCCCTATTGCGATAGAACGTTCCACCGGCAAAATGACCGAAAACCTGCCGTGCGTTTCGCGAACCATTACGCTTGGGTGCAAGCCGCTACACTGAAGTGAAATACACAGCTGTACAGCTTTAATCGTTGTAATCTTTATCTGTCAATATTATGTCTCATGTTGCGCGGGTTTTTGGTCAGATAGACTATTACCAAAGGTCTGTGCGTTTGCATGGAACATAGGTCGGAATTAGGGCACCCCCGTTACTGTCTTCGAATCTGTATTAAGTGAATTGTTAAACCAAGGGGGTTCAAAATCCTTTTAACTCCATGGTTAAACACACAGGTGATTATCTTCATAACATTAACATTAAGATTCAGTCAAACCTGTACAAGTGACAACCTCTATAGTATATGGTTAAATGACCACCTGGCCATTTGGACCACTTTT